TTGTTTCTGATTTGTTTCCATCTACTTTTATCTCATTTGCACAGGAATATTAGAAGGAGTATCCACTTCCTAAACCAAATCCCTCTGGAAACTCTATGAACTTGGAGAAACAACAGTTACAGAAAGGTTTCAGATTTTTTGTTCAGAGGGTCTCTATGAGTCATGCTCAAATTGATGGCAGTCAGCAATAACAAGATTATCAGGAGTGGCATCCATTCCTAAACAATATGCCTCTAGAAACTTTATGAACTTTGAGAAATGACGATTACTAAAGAAAGGTGTCGGATCTTATGTTCATAGGGTCGCTATGAGTCATGCTTGACTTGACGGCAATCAACAACATTAAGATACTCCATTGTAATAATGGACGTGTATGTTTTTGCAGTTGTATTACTTTATCTAGGGAGCTCTGGTGGCTTATTGGTAAGAGGTTAACCTCTGAACCCAAAGATAAGTTTGAGTGCACTAGTTGTTCCTTGGGAGAATGAGGAACAGTCTCTCCCCATGCAATTTACAGCCTCTGAAAACCACCGAAGGGTCAGCTATGAGTTGGTTCTTACCTGACAGTACAAAGCATTGCTTTATCTATTTTGAAGATGATGGTCTAGTGGTAAGAAGCTGCACTGCAGTCCCAGAGGCATGTAGTGCAAATGCACCAGCTGCTGCGTAGGAAGGATAGGCAGTTTGATTAACTGCCTCTGAAACCTCACCAGAGGATCAGTTCTGGGTCGGTTCCAACTCTGTACACATCAACAACAATGATAGGTATATAAATTTAGAACTGCTGTTTTCTGAAAATAAAAACTACTTATGTGATTTTTTTCCCCTCTAGTAATTTTTTTTCTCTAAAAAAAAAATCTAATGATCCCTTGATAATGACATAAGTATACAGCTTTCTTTTGAGTAGCTTTTGCCTTATGACCTTTTTTCTTCTCTTTGTTTTTTCTTACTTTTGAATTGGATATGTTTCTTACGAAAACGTGTTTTATCTTGCTTGGCATAGTGTTGCTTTTGTTTTGTTACGAAGATGACTGGAGTGGTAAATCCATTCACTTGTATTTACAGGTGAATTAGCATATTCCTTTTCTGCTTTCCTTTGTTCTTTTTTTCCCCCCAACTCCCTCCCCTTACCTTCTTTTGAATTGAATCAATATCGTTCTCATCTATTTTTATTAATTGCTTTTAGGAATTTAACATTTATGTGCTGCTTAATAAAGCTTAGTATGTTTACCTTCATCATGAACAATGAAAGATTTTATTGAGTATCTGTGGATGCTACATTCAGTTTATGCTCATCTGAGATCATTATTTTGACCAAGTTCTTAAAATTTTACTGACAAAAGAATTCTAAGGAAGTTCTGCTGGCTTATGGGTAAGGACTTTCACTGCTAACCCAAAGGAACATAGTTCACATCTACCCAGCTGCTCCTCAAAAGCAAGATGAGAGTCTCCTCCCATGCAGTTTACTGCCCCGTAAGCATACCTGGAGCCTCAACTATGAATAGGTTTCAACTTGAGGGTACATAACAGTGAACAGTTCTATATTGGCCGTTTTCTTTTCAGCACGGAGATGATCTCATTTTACTTTTCTTCTAATTTCCATTTTTGTTGTTGAAAATGTAGCTCATTCTTTGTTGTTGATGTTTTAAAAATCTAGAGAGTACATTTACCAATTCATTGTATAAAACTTATCCCAGTTACATCAGTCATGTACAGATGAGATAATGATCTATGTTTTTTATTTAAATATTTATTTTATTCTGGTTTACTTTAAAAGTTAATGTACATTCTTTTTCACACTAGATCTTTCCCATTTTCTTTACTCGCCTCTCCCTTGACCCATCAAATTATGCAACCCTATGGTTAACCACCACAACCCTGCCCTTTCTCATCCCTCTGCTCCCACTCCAGCCCCCTGGATCCTCCCCCTTGGGTACTTGTTCTACAATAATGGTCTTTTATAGCTTTTGTTCTTATGGGACTAAGTTAGTTTACTCAGCATAGTGCTCTCTAGTCCCTCCCAAGTTAGGTAGTGATTTACAAAATCATTGCTTCTGTGTACATCTCAATCCATTCCATTGTGATTGGACATTTGGTCTTTTTCCCTGTTCTTGTGTTGCTATGAACATTGGTGTATAAGTCTCCATTTGTGCCACATTTCTCATTTTTTTGAGGAAGCACCAAACTGCTTTCCAGAATGGTTACACCATTTTACCATCCCACCAACAGTGTATAAGAGTTCCTATCTCACCACATCCTCGCCAACATTTATTCTTTGCTGTCCTTTTAAACTTTGCCACTGCTACTAGAGTGAGATGGTGTCTCATTGTGGTTTTGACTGTCATCTCTCTTATTGCCAGTGATTTTGAGCATTTCTTCATGTGTCTGCGGGCCATTCGAATATCTTCCTCTGAAAATTCTTTCCATGTCTTTTGCCCATTTTGTAATTGTGTTATCAGTCTTTTTCTTGTAGAGGCCCTGTAGGATTCTGTAAACTTTTGATATAGGACCCTTGTCTGAAATGGTATTGCCATATGTTTTTTTCCCAGTCAGTTGGTTTTCCTTTCACCCTGTTGGAAAAGTTTTTGATGTGCACAGAGATTTAATCTTTAAAAGGTCATATTCATCAATTTTATCCTCCAGATTGTAGCTTTCTGCCTCTATTTGAACCTAAATAGAGACACAAAAGACCTATACAAAGAAAACTACAGAACATTTCTGAGAGACACAATAAAAGACCCTCAATAAATGGAAAATGTTGCCTGTTCATTGACAGGAAGACTCAATATTGTGAAAATGACGGTCTTACCTAAAGCAGTCTACATGTTTAACACAATCCCAATACAGATACTAAATTCCTTTCTCAAGATTGAAAGGGAAATTGTCAAGTTTATTTGGAGAGGAAAGAGACCCCGATTAAGCAAAGCACTTCTGAAAAACAAAATGAAGTGGGAAGTATAGCACTCCCTGACCTCAAAACCTCTTACACAGTAGTAACCAAAACAACATGATAATGGTACAGTGACAGGCACATAGCCCATTGGAACAGAACTGAAAACCCAGAAATGGATGCAGCTATCTATGGTCAACTGATATTCGACAAAGAAATAAAACCTATCAAATGGAGAAATAACAACTTCTTCACAAATGGTGCTGGCAAAACTGGACTGCTACCTGTGAAAAGCTGAAACAGAATCCACATCTCATACCATATACAAAAATAGGTGGATTAGAGACTTGGGAGGAAAGTCCAAATGCACAAAGTTCATCAGAGATAAACTGAGATTAAGCGTAGAAGGCCTTATGGTTTAAATATTGCCAGTATACTCTAGCTTCTCTTCAAATCATAAAGACTTCTTAAGTTTTACCCACTGAAAATTCTTTTGTGAGTTATCTATTTTTTTTCTTTCTGATTGTTTTTACTGTCTTCTGGTTGTTGTTTCCCCTTATATTTTGTCTATAATGTGTTTCCTATTGGATTTTCCTTTTGTTATTCCTATATGTGATTTGTTATGTTTATAATCTTTTATCTTCTCTCTACCAGTTCTGGTAATTTTTTTAATGAATTAACAATGGACACATTCTTTTCCCCTTCTCTAGTCAAAAGTTAAGACGCAAAGACATTTGCTTCTTTTCTTCTTTTGTAGAGGGTTTTTTTCCCCTTAGTATAGTCTTTCTCAAAAAATAAAGCCTTTTCTATGTGCCTTAACTACTAGCAGAGGGTTTCTCCAGTCCCACATCCATCCTACAGAGATCCAAGATGTTATCTTCTTTCTCTCTGAGTATAGTAGTAGTTAAAAAAAGCCCTTCTAGGTCATTGGTCATTATTTTAAATACCTATGAGTCTTACCTTAAGTCCTCACTAGACTCGTGACCCCATGTTTCTAGTCAGAGTATTTATTTTCCTGCATATGCATCCAATTTTAGGAGATAATTATGTGAGTAGAGTTGCCCTGAGCACAGTAAATTACATGCTGGGAAGCTAACCAAAAAAGTCTGCAGTCCAAACCTACCAGCCACTCTAGAAAGAAAAATAGTCCATCTATTGCTGTTAAGTTGTACAGCCTCAGAAACCTGATGGGGCAATGCTGCTCTATCCTTAAAGGGTCACTATAAGTTTGAGTTGACTTAGTGGCACTGAGTTTTATTGTGTGTGTGAGTACACATAATTTTTTAAAATTATAGATAGATAGATATACACATATGGGATATTTGTGTACATAATTTGTTTTACTAATATACACAGCAAAATACACACCATTTCAGCAATTTCTGCATGTATTTGTTAGCTATGTTGATTGTATTCTTCAGATTGTAAAACCATTCTCCTCCTCCTCTTCTGTGTTGTTCTTCCCTTGTGAGCATAAACTCATTGACCCCTAACATTCCTCTTAATCTTTTCAACTGTTATTGAAGTGATCCCATAGAGATAACTCTGAAGAGAGCATAATGCTCAAGGCAGATTTTTTTTACTGGTTTCAGTAAATTATTACTTGTTTTTAAGATTACTTCAGGGATATGTTTAAAGGTTTGACAGGGTAGTAGTTTCTAGGATTCATCTCCAGAAAAATGGAGTTTTTTTGAAAATTTAAAGTTTAACTTTTGCATTTTCCGCCTTTTGATTAGGTTTCTTACATGAATACTTTGATCATAATGCTCAAAAAATGGCAGCTAAGCATCATCCAGTCCTGCTTTCATGGCATAGAAGCCAGTTGTTCATGATGTCAATTGAGCAAACATTCCGCATCAAGCTGCTTACAAACTTGCAGCCCAAAGCATCAGATAACAAACGAGTTAGGAAGTAGAACAGAGGCACTAAATAATTACTGGGCAAATTAACTGTGATGCCCACAAAACTAAGACTCTGAACACTGAAATTAAGGAACAAATCCCTGGTGTTTGGTTGTACATCATCCTGTGCCTTTTAATAAATATTTCTCTTGTCATGATTTTAAATAAGTAATCACATTTTCCCCCCCTCCTGTCACCTATTCTTACAGGTGAGCAGTAGGTCATCCAGTCCTAGTGTCAGAATGATCACTACCTCAGGACCAACCTCAGAAAAGCCAACTCGAACTCATCCATGGACCCCTGATGATTCCACAGGTGACCAGTTTATTTCCTCATTTTGAATTCTATGACACTAACTAACTTGCTCTTTGCATTTTTCCCCACTAGATACTTAACAAATCATGTATTTTGTTTGTTTTATGATTGATTTGTTGGCTTGTTTTTGTATTTTTATTTTCTTTTCATTGTTGGACATTTTCTTTAGCCCTCCTCCAAATGCACCTCTTGCACCCCTTGTCCATGTTGTCATACATATAATGCCTAATCACTTATTCATTTCGGACAGTTCTTCCCCTCCTCTGGTAACAATGTTCATCATCTAGCCTTTCTTTTCTCATTCTTTCCCCATCCCTTCTCATATCTGTTCCATTGTATAACAGCAGTGTTATGCATTATTTTTCCTTTTGGGACTGAGATATTTCACTCAGCAAAATGCCCTCCAGGCTCGCCCATGTTGTATTATGTATTACGAGTTCTTTGTTTTCCAGTGCTGTGTAATATTCTATTGTGTGATTCATCTGTTGATGGGCACTTGAGTCGCTTCCATCTCTTTGCTGCTGGTAATAATGGAGCAATAAATTTGGATGTGCATACATCCATTTGAATCATGGCTCTGGTTTCATTTTTTTTTTTTAATGTGTGTACCGTCAAATCAGATCTGACTGGTACAGGAGGTGATTGTTCCTCCTTCTTCAGCAGAGCATTTGGTGGATTTGAACCACGTACCTCTGGGATTACAGTGCAGCTTCTTTCCACTAGGCCACCAGAGCTCACCAGCTCTGGTTTCTTTAGGGTATATTCCCTGTAGTGGAATTACTGGGTCAAATGGTATTTCTATTTCCAACTTTTTTAGAAAGCGCCAGTCTGCTTTCCATAGTGGCTATACCATTTTACATTTTTCCAGCAGTGAATAAAAGTGCCAATCTCTCCACAACCTACCCAGTATTTATTGTTTACTGCCCTGTTGAACTTTACTGTCGTTCTGGGGTGAAATGATACCTCATAGTTTCTTTAATTAGTATCTCTCTGATAGCTGGGGATTTTGAACATTTCTTCAAGTATTTGTTTGCCATTTGAATGTCTTCTTTGGTGAAGTGTCTATTCAAATCCTGTGCTTATTTGGTGATTGGATTATTTGCCTTTTTCTTATTGAGGTGCTGGAGTATTTGATAAATTTTAAGATAAAAGAACCTTATCAGATATGTCATTGCCAAATATTTTTCCCCAGTCTATTTATTTCCCTCTTACCTTTTGGAGAAGTTTTTTTATGTGCATAGGGATTTGATTTTTAGAAGGTCCTGTTTCTCTATTTTCTCTCTCCTGGTTGTAGGTTCTTCACTGTGCTTGGAATACAGTTCATGCTGTGGATTAGGGTATCTATAGTTCTTCCTAGGTTTCTCTGATGAATTTGATAGTTTTTGTGTTTACTTCTAGGTTCCTGATCCATCTTCATTTATAAGAGGTGTGGATCTTGCTTATGTTTTCTACAAATAGTTTTCCAGTTTTTCCAATACCATTTATCTGTCATTTCTCCACTTAATTGATTTCGTCTCCTTGTTTAAGATCAGTTGGCCATGGGTAGAGAGGCTGATTTCTGGGTTCTCAATTCTATTCCATTGATCTATGTGTCTGTCACTATGTAAGAGTGTGACGCTTCTTCCCTTGTTCCTATTTTTCAGTACTGTTTTGTTTATTCGGGCCTCATTCCATTCCAGATAAAATTGGAAATTGCCTTTCCCATCTCATTAAAGGATAGAATTGCTATCTGTATTGGGATTGCACTGAATTTATAAAATGTCTTTGGTAGAATTGTCATTTCCACACTATTGAGTCTTCCTATCCATGAGCATGGTATATTCTATTTCTCCAGGTCTCTTTGTTTCTTGTCATAATGTTTTATAATGTTCTTTGTATAGGTCTTTTGGGTCTCTAATTAGATGTATTCTTAAGTATTTCCATTGTGTGATTAGATATTGTGATTGATACTGGATTTCTGTATTTGTCATTGTAGAGAAATCCAACTGATTTATGTATGTTGATCTGGTACTTTACTGTATTTAACCATGTATTTTGAAAATAATTTGTTTTAGATTTTTTCCCAGTTCTTTCTAGTATGATCTATCCTTCTGGAGGATAGTAGTAAAATGAGTGTCAAAATGCTAAACACAGCAAAATGGTAAAAATGATCATCATCTTTATTTCTTTTAAAGACACAAGGGTATCATTTGCCCTACTAAGAAAAATAATTTCTGACCATTGAGACCTTTGAAACTTTTCTAATTGATGGAGTGGCTATGTTTCGGAGGCATAGATATTTTCTCACATAAAGCCTAAAAGCCTTGATGTTGTTTTAGGTCCCTTCCAGTTTGTTTCAGCTCCAGCTAGCTGTGTAACAACAGAATGAAATACTGCCTGGTCTTGCACACCCTTACAATTGTTTCTCTTGAGCCTATTGTTGCAGCTTCTGTGTTAGTCCATCTTGTTGAGAATCTTCCTCTTTTCCCCTAACCCTCTAATTTACATGATGTCTTTCTCCAGGAACAGGTCCCTCCTGATAACATGTTCATAAAGTGCACAAGACAAAGTTTTGCCAACCTTCCTTCTAAGGAGCCCATCTCCTAAGACAGATTTATTCATTCTTCTGACAGTTCATGATATATTTAAAATGTCATCTGAAGCAAAACTCAAAAGCATCCATTCTTTTATGATCTTCTTTGCTAATTGTCTAGTTTTCCTGTGTATAAAGCAATTGAAAAATACCATGTACTCAGAGAGATATGTTTGCTTTGAATAGACTTTTTACAGCAAAAAAGCCTATTGATTTCTTGACTTCTACTTCAGTGAGCACTGATTGTGGATCCAAATAAATTAAATCTTTGAGAAATATGGTTCACTTACCCTCTTATTATTTAATCAGTCCAGATATGAGACATTTTCTTTTTTATTGAAGTTTAATCGATCTTAATGCTGTAGTAAATGCTTTGATCTTCATTAATGAGTACTTCATCTTCTTTCTTCACTTTCAGTAACAAAAGTTATTGTTGATAAATCTTCAATCCGCATTCTGTGCTCTTCATATTCATAGTCTAGCTTTTTTAATTACTTGCTCAGCATACAGATTAAGTATAATATGAGTGCCGCTTTGATGTACACCTTTCCTAATAGTAAATCATAGAAGATCTCCATGTTCTGGTCCTAAAACTTCAGTCTGTTTAACAAGGGCACAGTTAAATATCCTGGAATTCCTGTTCTTTTCAATGTTACGTATAATTTGTTTTGGCCACTGAGTCAAATATTTTGTATAGTCAGGAAAACACAAGTAGACCAGAAAAACCAAGAAACCATCTTTCTTGGGTTCACTGCATTCTTCAAGATCCAGCTGACAACAGCGTTGACTTCTGTTCCACATCTTCTGCTGAATCCAGGTTGAATTACTGGCAGCTTCCTATATAGATATTTTGCTGCAGCAGTTTGGGGATTTTTTGTGTATTTTGTTGTTTTTGTGTTTTGTTTTGTTTTGTTTTTAATTATCTTCATTATCGTAGACTGGGTTCTCTCAACTCGTTCAGTGCCTTCAAGTCTGAACTGACTCACAGCCAACCCTCCAGTGGATTTTCAGAGGTGGCAAATCACACAGGAGGAGATGACCCATCTTTCTCATTCCAAGCACTTGGTGGATTCAAACCACCTGCCTTTGGATTGGCATCACATCTCTTTACCCACAAGACTAAACCAGTGACAGATATTTATGTTTATATGTATACCTATATACTCACTCACTCACACAGCAAGTTTGAGTTTGATTTTAAGGTTTTTCTTTTCTTTTTGAGGAAATTACTTGAATACTTGCAAAGGCTGGCAAATCCCAGGCCACTGGGTCAGAACTTTTGATAAAAGCATCTGGGTGTGCTAATGAGGTTGACCAGCTGGCTTTAGAGGTTTATTTCAAGGTCAGTAGACTGGGCCAGAGCATAATCCTTCATAAACTATAAATCCTAGGTTAGTAGGAATCCCAAGCCACTAGTTTAAGTCTAGAGGTCATAAACCAGTTGCAATATCAGACACAAGTTCTTTAGCTTTTCCAGAAAGTCTGTACATTTTTCAGTGCGGGTTACAGCTCTGAGGAGACTCCCCTTAGATTAGACAGCCATATTCTTATAATTGCCTCTAATCTTTGGTGGCCTAGGGGAAAGGATGAGTACTGCCAACCCAAAAGCACAGGATTCAGAAATTCACCAGCTGCTCCACAGGAAAAAGATAGGCAGTCTTCTCCCATGCAGTTTACAGCCTCTGGAAATTCACTGGAGTGTCAGCTTTGGCTCCATTCCACCACAACAGCACATAATGAGCAACAAATTCTGACTAAACATTGTCTAACACAGTGACTCTACATAAAACAAATCAAAATCTTGCCTGATCTTTTGCCAAATCTCTGCTGTGTTTAATTTGTTATTGCCATCACTGTCTCAGTCCATCTTGTTGAGGGTCTTCCTCTCTTTCTTTGACCTTATCTTTACCTTTCCAAGCATAAAATTTTCTTCAAAGAACTGACCTTTCCTGTTAATATGCCAAAAGTACTAGTATTATAAAGGTTATAATTAACATGACCATATTGACAATATTAAGCTTCATATTCTATATAAAATTACTTACATGTAGTGTTAAAAGCTATTAAAACTCCCCAGTTAAATAATAACTGGTAGACTATTAGTGTTATAATCTAGCTTTCTCATGGGCTGAATGCTATTAAAGCAATATGTATGAATGAGTGAATGGAAAACTGGTATACTTCTGTAAACATTCTTTTAAATTACAAATTTTTTAAAGGGGGGGAAAGAATTAAAAAGAAAAAAAATTCTGCCTATCTGAGTGTAGTAATGGGATAGAGTCATTGTAGGTGAACAAGAAATATTTTGCCATGTAAAGTGGTTTTTCCTTAACATTAAAAGAACACCTTGATAAGTATCAGCAACTCCTTAAAAAACTATTTTTAATGCTGTAAATCAGATGAGGGGAAGATGATCTCTTAGATTTTGGAAAATTAAGCTGTTTGGGATTTTACTTAATATCATCCATGTTATTAATAGTAGGAATTAAATTGAGATTTGAAAGTCAGCTTTTTTTTTTTTTACCAAACTGAAATACTGCTTGTTAATGTATTTATAAATGTGTACTTTGGTTTAGTCAAGTTTATAATTTAATTTAGAAAAATTAACTTTGTGGCTTTTCTTATATCATGAAAGATCGTGGGACTATGTTTAGCTATTGGGTGTATTCTCTATTTCTGTAAACTTAAATTTAGAAATGACAAAAACTCCTAAATTTCGCCTCTAGCCCATCCCATCCTAGGATTGCTCAGGACAGTCATCACTCCGCACGTATGCAAGTTCATTAATGCTGAGCTTCTCCTCACTATTAGACATGGAAATGCTTTTGCCACATTTTCATTTTATCAGTAACATCTGCTTCATTTCCAAACCCTCCAGTGAGAAGTACTATCTATAACAAGAAAATTTTCCAAGGACTAGTGGCATAGTGCTTAAAAGCTACCAACTGAGGGAGCGCTAGTGGCCTAGTAGCAAGAAGCTGTGCTGCAATTCTGAAGGAACACGGTTTGAATCCACCAGATGCTCTGCTGGAGCACCCACTCAGAAATGCACAACAAGAACACCAAAAAGACAAAATAAAGAAAGGAAAAAACACCAACAAAAACTGCCAACCACAAGTTCAGGTGTTTTACTTACTAACTACTTAATCCACAGAGGAAAATATCTACTTTCACAAAAATTTACAGTCTAGAAAATCTTACGATACAGTTCTTCTCTGTCCCATAAGGCCACTATAATTCAGACTCAAGTTGCAGCAGTTGATTTGATTGTCTTCTTTTAATCTCTCAGATTGGCAGAGCCTCCTGACTTCAGTCTAGACTAATGATGATACCAGTCACCATGTGACCAGTTAAGGCTTAAAAACGACTATGTCAAAATCTTGTGAAGTACTTTTCACGTAACTGCTCTGTTTCTACTTAATTTATTCCCCATCCTTCCAAAACCTATCTCATTTCTCTTCTTTTCCTATACTTACAATACCACAAAATAACAGTAGCAAGAAATTTTACTAAGTACCCAGTTGCAATACTATAAGCTAAATATTTTCCCTAATATTTGAAATTTACTGTAAAAGTATCATTATTATTTCCAGATAATTTTTATTACAACTTTAATAATTGAAACATTGGTTTACATTTTAATTCTGTAAGCACTATTTGTACTTCCTAAGAAAAATACTGATGATCAAGCAATAAAATGCATTATAGAGAAGAAATACATAAAAGACTTTTTTCTTTGAAAATTCACTGACCCAGAAAATAAGCTGAGTATATTTAGAAGTTAAATGATTATAATAGATAATATATATGCTGTATTTTCAGTTTATAATACAGTATGGATAGAGAATGCCATACATGCCAAAGAAGATACAGTAAGAGAGATATTTAGCCCAGTGGATGGAGTAAGAGAGGTTCTCCTGTATTTTTCTAGTGCTTAGAACTTTGCAGTAGCCATTGTGGCAGGGTGGTTAAAGCACTTAGTTGCTAACCAGTATGTCACAGGAGAAATGCAGTTTGCTTATATGAATATTTACTGCCTAAGCCGAAGGTGGGTGATTGTCATCTGTGGCCCTCAGCCAGGTTCAAATTGTCTTCCTGTCAAACATTCCTCTAGGTGGTATAGCACTGGTCTGTGCGTGGCTGTACAGAGGTAACTCGTGGTTGCTGTGATGCTGAAGCCTGTGACAGTGATGTGCCAATCATGATAATGGGCACCCATGGTGGACAGTGTTGGCTGGAGCTTCCCGACTAAATCAAGCCTGGAAGCAGGAGCGGCATCCACTTCCAAAATGGCTTGCCTCTGGGAACTCTATGTATGAACAGTGCTCAGGCTGTTCGTTCATAGGGTCGCTATGAGTCGTCTATGACTCGACAGCATTAAACAACAACAAACATGAAGCACCATAGGGCAGTTCTGTGTCCTTTAGGGTCACTATAACTTAGAGTCAACTCCAGTTATTTAGTATTTTGCTGAAATAAAAATGTTATAAGACGTGTTTCAAAATTGGGAAGCAAGTATGACAGAGATGTATTCTGTATCCATACTTTTTCAATCTATATGAAGAACAGGCTGGGCTGTATGAGGAAGAATGTGGCATCAGGATTGGAGGAAGATATCAACAACCTGTGTTATGCAAATGACACCTGTTTGCTGAAACTGAGGACGACCTGAAGCACTTGCTGCAGAAGATCAAGGACTGCATCCATCAATGTGGTTTGAAGCTCAAGAAGAAAACAAAGATTCTCACCACTGGGTCAATTGGCAGCATCATTATGGACGGTGAAGAGATTGAGATTGTTAACAGCATTAACAGCGTTAGTTTGCTTGACTCCACAGTCAACATTCTTGGTACCAGGAACCAGGAAATCAAGAGATGAATTGCATTAGCAAAGTCGGCTGTCAGGGACCTCTTCAGAGTACTGAAGAGCAACGATGTCAGTCTGAACACTAAGGTGTGCCTGAGGCAGGCCATAGTCTTCGCAATTGTGTGCTATGCTTCAGAGAGCTGGACAATGACTAGGGATAATAGAGAAATGATGCTTTGAATTATGGTGCTGAAGAATAATATTGAATATATCATGGACTGCTAGAAAAACAGTTTCATCCTAGCAAGGGGGAGACCAGGCTGCTTCTTGAAGTCAAGGATTCTGAAGCTTCGTCTAACATACTTTGGACATGTTATAAGGACATGCTGGTCCTTGGAGTGGGACTTTATGCAGGAGAGGAAGACTTGATGAGGTATATTGATTCAGTCACTGGGTAATGGGGGTAAGTATGTCAAAGACAGTAAGATTGGCACAGGGTAGTGCAGGATATAGGGCTGTTGTACATAGGGTCACTATGAGTTGCAAGTGACTTGATGGCACATAACAACAACATGACCCATTGCTTGCCATCTGATTAGGGTATTAATAATGCAACATTAAAGATAAACATTATAGAATAATAAATTTACATGCTGTTTGGTTTTAATAGAGGGAAGAAAGACATAATTGCTGACTTTTTCTTAAAATTAGGAAAGAAGTATAATTATAAGGGAATGTAAAGCATTTCATGTTACGGGAATATATTCATTAAGATTTTTTGTCTGAGATCATGATAAAGGTTTTGTTTCATGTTTATTTCTCCTGATTTAACCAAATCAGTCTTGGCATTCAGTGGAAAAGGTTAAATGACATCATAAATTTAAACATTAATAAAAGAAAAAGAAAACTTTCATGGGATAATCTCTATAATATAGGATCAGTTTTTTCTCTTAAAGACTAAAAGCTAGATTTCAGTCTAGAAAATTATAGGTATATGTGAGAAAACAAAATTCCAGTTCTTTGTTTTAGTGAAAGGATGAAATTTAATAAAGAACTTAGTTTTAGAGAAAGAATTCCTCACCATGAAAAAGCTCAAATTGGCAAAATCCTTAACCTTTAACACCTTCAAAATAGTGTGAAGCATTGATACATTATTATACTTTCTGATATAGATATAAAATTTGGGCTGCTGTTTATGTATCTTTCTCAAGTATCTGAAGATTTAAGAAAGAGCAGTAGTGAAAACATTGAGGGAGATCTTGAAAGTCAGTTTTTCTTGGAAGTCAAAGGGAAGTTGTTTTTACTCATTGTTAGTTTTAAGAGAATTTGTAATGTGCTACAATGATGAGCCAAGTTTTCGCTGACGCTGCAGAGGTCTTTGGCCCAGTGAGTGGAGTTTGGTAGTAATTCTTAGCACTGGTTTTTAAAAAAAAGACCATTTGTCTCTTCCTTTCCTCCCTTTCCCTGTTTTAATATATTGGATTTCATTTTGTTTACAGCCGTCTCCTTCTAAGTATGATTATGTTCTAATAATCTGGTTATTGGCTGTCGTCTGTTGACCTTTAGAATTCTAAATAGACCTTTTTTAAATTAGCATTAATAGTAATTTGTATTCTGTATTTTATTTACTCTAGGAAAAGTACACCAAAATACCATGCATGCTTTCTTGCTTTTGATTTACAACTTTATGATGGAAATAAAATGAAACTATGCTTCAATTCCAGATACTAATGGGTAAATAAAACGTATGCTTCAATTCCAGATACTAATGGGTCCGATAACTCCATACCAATGGCTTATCTTACACTGGATCACCAACTACAGGTAGAGGAGTCCTTCCTCAGTGAATTATTTTCTTCTTACAGAGTTTATCTTTAAATCCGACAGTTGGATTCCTGTCTGTCATTTTATATTTTTTTTATGGTTTTAGTTGGCCTTGTTAAGCTTTTTTGTTTTTTCTTGGCCTTGTTAAACTTCTAAAAACCAAGTTAAAATAAACTATCCTTTCAGTTTTGTTCATCACATTTTAAATTGGCAATATCATAAGCTCTTATGCTAATAGTCATCTTAAAGTACTCTGCCTTAATTGTGTTCATGATTACTAAGCATGGCATTTCACTTTTTCATTTTAGTACATTAAAATATAAAACTCATATAAGCTGTTTTCTACTTAATGATGTATTCTTATGGTCTTATTGACTGAATATATAACTAACACACTTTAGTGCCTCCTCATGAATCTGGGAGTTATAAACACTTTTGGTATAATATAAACAGTTTGGCAATCTGAAATGTAATACCAGAGGCTAAGAGCGCTCTAATCGTGATCTTTAGTAACAACAGAAGTGTTAAAACAGCAAGTGTAAATTTAATCTCTGAGTTAACCCTGACAAGAGGATACCAGGATTTTGTAGGGTTTGGTTTAATGCTTATTTTTAAAAAATCATGACTTTTAATGCAAAAAAATTTATATATATATATATTGCAGTCCCTTAGCTAGTTATTGAGATTTAATTTAATCATGTTTTAACATTCTTGATTTATTTTCAGCCTCTTGCACCATGCCCAAACTCCAAAGAGTCTATGGCAGTGTTTGAACAGCATTGTAAAATGGCCCAGGAATATATGAAAGTTCAAACAGAAATTGCTTTGTTATTACAGAGAAAGTAAGTTACTTTTGATGACTAAAAATAAAAACACATTATTATTTAGAGTTTGAAATATGTTAACATGCAACATTACTTTGATGATGTGAAAATTTTACCATTTTAGAGAATTAGTCATTAACTATATTTTCAGCCTAGAGATTTTCTTTAAACAACCTTTGACTAGCTTTCTTTGACAACCTTTGGCTAGCTGTCAGCTTCTCAAGTTGCTTGACTATATCATACTATCTTGGTTGTAAGGAATGTAAATTGGTCGTGTGTGTGTGTGTGTATTTTGTGTGTACTGTCAAATCGGATCTGACAGGTACAGGAGGAGATTGTTCTCCTTCTCCAGCAGATCATCTGGTGGATTTGAAGCACACCCCTTTGGGATTGCAGTACAGCTTTTAAAAGACAAACTGCATTGGGAAAGTCTGCTGTCAGAGACCTCTCTAAGGTACTGAGGAGCGACGATGTCAGTTTGGTGACTAAGGTGCACCTGATAAGGGACATGGCCTTTACCATTACTTGCTATGCGTCACAGAGCTAGACAATGACTAGGGATGATAGAAAGAATTGATGCCTTTGAGCTTTGGTGCTGGAGAAGAGTACTGAATATACTCTTGGACTGCTAGGAGAACAAACAAATTCATCCTAGAGAGGGAGAAGCCAGAAGCCAGGCTGGTCCTTGGAGGCAAGGATTCTGATGCTCTGTTTGCCATACTTATGACATGCTGCAAAGTGGGATTCGTCCTTGGAGAGGAATTTCATGCTTGGGAGGATGGAGGGACAGCATAGGAAAGGAAGACCCTCAATAAGATGGATTAATTCCGCCACTGGGGTAATGGGGATAGGTGTATCAGAGACAATAAGGTTGGCAAGAGATAGAGCAGAGTTTAGGGCTGTTGTACATAGGGTCGCTGTGAGTCGCAAAGGACTCGACGGCACATAACAACAACAGATATATATATATCCAGTATTTTATGTTCTCCCAATTTAAACTGAAGGCCTTTTTTTGAAATATTGTGTAAAGATTTTGTTCCTTGGTCATAAGTAAAATAATTTAAAATACTAATTTTCAGTTGTGCTTTATGTTAGAATCTTTTGTATTCTTTCCAGATGTGTGTGGGGGTGAGTGAAGTTACTTTGTTAGAGGCCAGTTGTTTTATACCTCTGAATGTATTCCTGGCAAGTTTTATACCTCTAAGTGCTTTTTCTAAGAATTTTAGAACTACCTCCTTTCTCCTTTTTTTTAAATAAAAATTATTTTCATGTAATAATTCATTTACATTGTGTTTCATCTATATACATTGTGTTCCATGCAATCCCTTATTTACATTACTCAGATACACAATATCCATATAATTAATTACCATTGGCTATTATTATACCATATTTTGATGTCTTAAATGAATCTTTCCCATATCCTCACCCTAACCCCTGATCCACCCACTTAACTCTGTTATCCTAGTGATTTCCACCTTTTTCTCTTTTCCCCTTCCCCTTTTGGACATTCATACACCTCATACTAGTTACCCTTCTGTTCTTACAATGATCTATGCCATATTTGTACTTAGAAAACTCAGTTAATTGAGTGAGCTCTGGTGTCCTAGTGGTAAGAAACTATACTGCTGTCTCAAAGGCATGTGGTTGAAATCCACCAGATACTCCACTGGAGAAGGAGGGAAGGGGCAATCTCCTTCTGTGACAGTTGGATCTGATTTAATGGCACATAATAAGGGGGAAAAACCCGTCAGTTAATTCACTCAGCAGATTGCTCTCTAGACTCTCCCATTTCATATAGTATTTTATGAAATCATTACTTCTTAGTGCTGTATAGTGTGACTGACTGTACCACCATTTCTCAATCAATTCATTTTTTGATCATTGTTTGGGCTCTTTCCATTTTCTTACTATTGTGAAAAATGCTGCTGTGAGCATAGGTGTTACATATCTCTGTTTGTGTCTCAGTTTTAATTTCCTTTGTGTACAACCAGAGCCAAAGAGGAGGAAATACATGATTTCTACCAATTTTTCCAGTCAGAAATCAATCGAGCATGCAACTAAGAGGCATTAATAATAATGGGTGACTGAAATGGAAAAGTTGAGAACCAGGAAGAAGAATCAGTAGTTGGAAAACATGGATTTGTGACAGAAATGAGGCTGAGGATAGAATGATAGAATTCTGCACAATGATTTTATTCATTGTGAATACCTTTTATAAGAAACATAAACTCAGTGTATACACATTGATTTTACCTTGGTGGTATGCCCAGGGCTCAGAACAATTACATCTGTGGAAGGAATCATTGGAGAAGTTTTAATATCACCAGTGAAAACTAGGCCCCCTGCTGATTGCAGAACAGACCATCAACTACTCATATGTATATATGCCTATATACTCATATATACTCTCTATACTCTCATGTTATATACTCAAATGTTCAGAATAAAGCTAAAGAAGGTAAAATCAAATCCACAGGAATCAAACTTTGACCTTGAGTCCATACCACCTAAAATTAAAAGCCAACTCAGGAACAGTTTTGAGGCATTGAATACTAATGACCAAACACCAGATGAGTTGTGGGAGGGTATCAAGAATAATGCAAAAGGTCATTCCAAAGACAGGAAGAAGGAAAAAACCAAGATGGATGTCAGAAGAAACAATGAATATTGCACTAGAGTGCTGAGAAGCCAAAGCAAAGGGGGAAAATGAAGAAGTTAAGCAGCTGAATAGAAGATTTCAAAGGACAGCTCAGGATGACAAAGCCAAGTATTATAATGAAATGTGCAAGTAGCTGCAGTTGGAAAAGCAAAAGGACCAAACTCACTTGGCATTTCTTAAGCTGAAGGAACTAAACAACTGTTATGTAAAACAGGCACAGAAACCTAAAGTAAGCAAAGAAGCTTTTATTGGGGCTCTCGGACGAGGTTCACTGTTCCCAGCTTAAGAGGGGACAGGAGGGTTCAGAGAAGTCGCACATCGTGTGAAGGAGAACTGGCTTTTAAAGATTGGGAGTGGGAGTGGGAGGAAGGGGCCATCTTTTGGCAAAGGAAGTAGTCATATAGCTTGCTGATTGGCTGCAGCTGTTGGCACTGTTAGGCGACAACTGATGACGTTGCTACACAGGTCCATCTCTTGGCAGAGGAAGTAGTCGTGTAGGTGAGTCAGCCCTGCAGGTGTATCAAGAACAAATTCAAGCCACAAGTTGCAATGTTTAAGGATACTACAGGCAGAATATTGGAATCATCCAAGGAGCATTAAAATAAGATGGAAGAAGTATACAAAGTCATTGTACCAAAAATAATTGGCTGACACAGAAGAATTTTAAAAAATAACATGATAAGAGGCAGTAGTGATGAAGAATTAAGTGTAGGCTGCTCTAAAGGATGTGACAAAAAATAAGGCCCTAGAAATTGAAGAAATACCAGCTAACATATTTCAGCAAACACATGCTGCCCTGGTTGTGCTCACTAGGTTGTGCCAAGAAATCGGAAGGACAACTACCTGGCCAACTGACAGGAAGAGATCCATATTTATTCCCATTCCAAAAAAAGGTGATCCAACAAAGTATGGAAATTATCTAACAATATCACTGATACCACACACAAGCAAAATCCTGCTGAAGATTATTCAAAAACCACTGGAACAGTACATTGACAGAGAACTACCAGAAACACAAGTGGGGTTTAGAAGAGGTTGAGAAACTAGAGACATCATCACCAGTGTTACAATTAGTCTTGACAGAAAGCAAAGAGTACCAGAAGAATGTCTTTCTATGTTTTGACTATACAAAGGCATTTAACTGTGTGGATCACAACAAATTGTGGCTAACATTGAGAAGAATGGGAATCCCAGAACATTTGCTTGTGCTCATGCTATGCTGTGAAACATGGACTAGGAAGCAGTCCTCAGAATAGAGCAACGAAACACTGCATGGTTCAAATCAGAAAGGATGTGTGTGTCAAGGATGCATCTTGTCGCCATACATTTTCAATCTGTTTGCAGAACAGATCATTCAGGAGGCTGGGTTTTATGAGTAGGGGGAGTGTGGCATTAGGATTGGAGGAAGACTCATCAACAACCCACATTATGCAGATGACACAGCCTTGGTTGCTGAAACTGAGGAGAACGTGAAGTGCTTGCTGCACAAGGTCAAGGACTGTAGTCTTCAATACGGATTAAAGCTCAACATCAAGAAGACAAAGCTTCTCACCACTGGGCCCATTGGCAACATCATGATAGATGATGAAGAGATTGTTAGCAATTACAGCTTGCTTGGCTCTACAATCAACACTTTTGACACCAGCAGTCAGGAAATCAAAAGATTAATTGCACTGAGAAAATCTACTGTCAGAGACCTCTCCAGAGTGCTGAGAAGCAATGTTGTCAGTGTGGAGACTAAGATATGCCTGATGCTGGCCATGATTTTTCTAATTACTTGTTATGCATCAGAGAGCTGAACCGTGATTAAGGATGACAGAAGAATAATGCCTTTGAGTTGTGCTGGAGAAGCGTCTTGAACATATTATAGACCACCAAGAAAACAAATAGGTCTATCTTGGAGAGGGTAAAACCAAGTTTATCCTTGGAGGTTAGAATTTTGAAGCTCTATCTCACATAGTTTGGGCACTGGCCAGGAGGGACAGGTCCTTAGAGAAGGACATCATGCTTGTTAGGGTGGAGGGACAGTGCAGGAGAGGAAGAACCCAGATGAGATAGATTGATACAGTAACTGGGGCAATGAGAGTTGGTATGTCAGTGAGACTGGCTTAGGATAGGGCAGGCTTCAGAGCTGTTGTACACAGGTGACTAAACAATACATAACAACAACATATTCCTAGAAGTGGAATAAGTAGTTGGGTCATATGGTATTTTTGTGTTCAGCTTTTTTTCAGACAAAGATCTCTTAATGAGAAGTTATAGAATACTACCAGGCCTCCACAAGAAAAAGACTGATAATGCAATAACAGAATGATCAAACATTTCACAAAATAAGACATTTCTGATGGCAAACAGACACATGATGAAATACTCAAAATTATTGGCAATCAGAGAGATACAGATCAAAACAATGAGATAGTCTCTCCCTGCAGTAGCAGTAGTGAATTTTAACAATACAGCAAACAATAAATGTTGGCGAGATTGGAACTCTCACACTGCTTGTGAGATTGTAAAATGGTACAGCTATCCTGGAACACTGTTTGGAACTTCCTCAGAAAACTGAACATAGAAATTCCCTCTCCCTTTTAAAGAAATAAAGTCCAGGTTCTTAAGCACAACTTTCATTAAATGAAATGGTGGCAACTAAAAGAAGTATTCCAGGAGAAAAGCATCACAACTGCTTAGGTATAGTAAGTAATGGAATTCTTTCTGTTAAACATAAAGGAATAACAATTTTTTTTTTCTGAAGTATTTTATGAAAGGTTTTGTATTTTTTTTTATTTTATTAAATTTTATTA